TTTCTATCTACAATCTATCTCTATTTCTTCTAGCCCAGGATAACATTCAAATTCTGCCTTCTTTAATATTCAAAACATTTTCACATACACGCTGCTGCTAGTACTAGAGGCTGCTGCAGATGGCAAATGTGGTCTGCTTGATATTCTGTGATAACTTTTCTCCACTTGTCAACACATTAGTCAACTGATCTGGGGAGGATTGGCAAGAGCCCAAATTAATGTGCGCAAAAGCAAAGCCCTCTAGGAAGCTTAACACTGTTCTAATTAAGATGCACATTCACATTTCCTGCCTCTCTTTACAACATGACCAAGAACGTCTGCTTCATAAAACCTTAAATTAGTGGGCTGTCATTGTAAAATTAGAAGTCATGATTTAATTTAGGTCCATTATAACTATCCAATAAATGCACGTTCTTTGCCTATTTTAATGAAGCTACATTGTTCTTGCTTTGAGATTTCACACTTAAATTGTAACATGACTCTTTTTGCTCTAAACAACAATTATCTACTATTAATGAATGTGTTTGCCATCCCTACAGATCCTTCTTCTGAGTGCTGCATGTATTGATTGGCAGCTGTGAAACATAATAAAGTGAACACTGATATATCAGTGTTTGTTACCTGCCTTGATAGCATGCTTACGTCACCAGTGGACTGTCACGTCATCCTCCCCTATTCTGCCTTGTATCTTTGTTGCAGAAGCTGGCATTATATTTCCCTTGGGCTTAAATGGTGTCATTTTGGATCCCAAAATGTCTCCTCACCTCATCTCAGCTCAAACCCCGACCTGGGTCAGTTTCCGTCCGCAGAGGAGAAGAGTTGACTCAAAGTGACCTGAAGCTGTAGAAGTGTCAAGTCAAATCCAAAATCCTGGGAAGATTTGAAGAGGTCCCATTAGGTTACTTTCAGACCAGAGGACACGCATCAGAGATCCCACCAGTGACCAGGTGAACAGGTTGATTTTTACTGCTTTGTATCCTAAGTAACATAAAGTACATTTACTCAAATACTGTGCTTAAAGGAATACTTCAGGGTTTTGAGAAATGCTTGCTTTCTTCCTGAGAGTTAGATGAGACATTTTATACTACTTCCCGAATGCTAAATATGAAGATGCTACCTGCAGCAAGTAGGATTTCATAAACACTGGAAGCAGGGGGAACCAGGTAGCCCTCGTTCTGTTGAAAGGTAAAATAATCTACCTGAAATGTTGAAATGTTGGTGAATTATTAAAACATATTTTACACCGTGGTTACAAGTGTGCGCCTATCTTTATCCTCACCTGAAATCGTGGTCAGCACCTCCAAAGCTTATTGATTACCAAGTTATACCGTACAAAAAGCAAAGTGTAAAGACAAGATTTATACAGGGGATTATGTACTTGTTTTCTGGGTCTGTTCTGGAAAAAATGGTATTTGTGCTCAGAAAACCTTTGCAGAATAAATCAGGCAAGTTGGTCAAAAACAAGATTAGATGCCTTAATTCCCGAAATTTTGTGAATTTGGTACTTGTTATTGTACATTTTAGGGAAGGTAGGCAAAAGTAAGGGGACAGTATCCTTTGTAACAACTGTCGAGCTGCTCCTACAGAACAAAGAGAATGATCCTTGTCTATTTTTTATACTTTTGAGTTTTACCATGATAAAACAGTAAGGTTTTCCATTAAACTAACAGAATGCAATTTGTTTAAACTTTAAAAATCTAGCTTTCAAACTCAGATGAACAGTAGGGCCATAGCCAGGTTAAAAAAAAATACTAAGAACAGTGTCTTCAATAGTAGATACAGCCCTGCATACCGTACTAAATTGCACTGACAGAATTACATGTGAACCGTTAAAAGAACATTCTGTCTGTGCGCAATATTAAAAGAGCAAAAAACATCAACAAACCCGTCCCTAGTGTGCACAGATTAAGACAAGAATAAATTTAGATTTCCATGTAAAACAGAAATTGACATTATTAAACAGTCTGTTTAACATGGAAATCTAAATTTATTCTTAATCTGTGATGACTCACCTCTGAACTAATATAATCCTGAAGGGTTGAGAACAAATGTTAGTACAGTAGGTCATTTCAGCCTTTCAGCAGTTACATAAGAGATTCTGCCTGATGTTGCCTTTGATGGCCCTTTTAAACCCCGATTGATAACTTAACTTTCTTCACTGATTCATCGTGTTGTTGACACTAGCAGCCTCACATGAATAAAACATGGGCTACAATGATGACACAGTAAAATCCCTGAATGAGTGAGGAGATATTAAATTTGAGTCCCACTGAACTTCAGCGGCTTAACCTGTATTCAGACATTCTTAGAATAAAGTAAAATCTATTCAGGGTACAGGCCACGTAATACATAAACCAACTCAGTACTCTCATCATTGCTTTTCAGAATTCTTTTTTATCTTATAGGCAATCTGTTGCATAATGTTTTTCAGATGTCCTGAATGCATTTCTTCCCAGCAGAAACTAAAGAAAGCTTTGGCGACACCTATGGGTGAAAATAAGATTAGGTAGTTACTGATTTGGGTGTAGAATATAATATCTGCTGTCTAGCAACATGTTAGCTGATAGAGATGTTTTCCATGTCATTCTATTTTTGTCTTGAATGTCTTGTTATAAAATCTGAGCACAAACTGAAACCCTACTTGTTATAATACATGCATACAAAAAATGTATGGTTGCGTTTCGTCCCTTTCTCTGTCTCTACCTCTTTCCTATCCTTCAGCAAAAACAAGGCTTCACAAACAGGTAAGAGATCATCCTAAAAACAATGGAGAGCAGCCATTTAATGCGGGAAAGTGAGAAAATGAAATATATTGTGCACAGGCTTATAGGCACTGAGAGAAACTTGGCAGCTACTCTGGATTGCAAAACATTTCTATTAAAATAAATATCACAAATACAAGCTGAGCTCCAAAGAAACTAAACTGCTAAGTGAGTGACATTTTGTGTCAATAGCTGGCTTTGATATGGGTAGTTGTCATACATGATCTAGTTTTGGTGGAAATCAAATTCATTCATTCATCATTCTGCCAACATGCATTATTCATTCCCTGGGCAGCAGTAACTCAGGTGGTTGTTAGTGTTGAGTTAGTGTTCGATTCCCACCTCCTTCTGTTCACAATTTAGCAACCATTGATATGTGTGTACTGTATGTAGGGGGAACATGTTGGACCAAAGCATCTGCCAAATCTCTTGCTTGTGCATGATTCCAAAAATAAAACACTAAAAAAGAACCCAGATTTAGTCAATTATATCATTTTCTGGCCAGAGGCATTTGAATGAGCCACAACTCATTTTTATGACTCCCAACCTTGAAACAGGAGCTTCCAAGGGGCACTTGAAGGCAGCACAAGTCTCAGTGATTGTCCTATTGATGTGCTGAGCCATAACAAGTTCTCTGAGGAGGAGGCATCTGTTTCATTGTTAGGGCCAGACGGTGCAGCTTGTCAGGGGAATTCTTCTCGACGGCACGGGCCGCCCATGCTACAGATGGCTTATCTCACAGTAAATGATTCAGAAAACGATAATATGCCTCCAAATGGAGAAGAGGTCATCTCCTTTTGCTAATGGAATGTCTTCCTTAGTTAAAGTCTGGACAGAACACTTGTTACATCTCTGTTTCATGGTATAAAAGTGAGGCTCTGTATCCGCTGCTCCAGGAAAGGTAGGCATTTTTAATCCAAAACTCCTGATCCTCTCATTTGAATAGTAAGCAGATCAATTAATGTTTAATTTCGGCACAAGCAAAACATAAGCTTTTCCAGACACGAATTTAAGGTGTTAATGTGACAGTGTTAATTCCCTTACATAACTAACTAGAGACAGCTTCACTGCCAAAAAATGAAGCAGGGCGATTTTCCTGCAAAATGATGGTTTAAGTTGTCAACTCAGGCCCTGGAGCAGAAGCTAAAACCCTTCTCCGGTTCCCCGGTGTCAAAACACTGAAACGTTTATGTGCAAGTCCAGACCTATAAGTAGGCATGGAACTTTAAGCCAAAACCTACTGTAATATTCAACAATTATCGAACTGTCAGCTAAAATGCACAAATGTCAGACAGAATCAGAAGCTGCTCCCTCACAGCAGGGTCAAACTGCTGCGGAACAGATATTAATAGACATGATCACTTCATTGTAACCTGCTTGGTTAAGTATGACTCACATTTTGTCAAGTAAAGTGTCAATCACATAAAGTATATTAAATTAGCTTCAAAATTTTCTTGGCACAAGCCCTCTACACACATACGCACATAAACAGTCTTTGACCCAGGAAGAGGGAAGCGCAATCTGACAGCCGACAGCATCGTCTGCTCTACTTCTTTCTCTTTCTCGCTTATGTGATACCGGGCCTGATGTGCAACATCAAAGACAAAATCTTATCTGCCCCCTATGTCCCTTTTGACACGGACATTAGTACATCTGAGACATGTTTCCCTCCCCATTGTCAGCTTCTTTCTGTTCTGCTTACAAAGATTAGAAAGAAGCTGACAGGGGCAAAGGGAGAGGAGAGCGACGTGGAGAGACAGAGAGGGAGACAGATTTGTGTAGACATGAATGGCTTGCAGGTGTTTTTTTTTTTTTTTCAGGAAAAAGAGATGGAATGAGTGGGAGATGTGGAGCCGTGACTTTCCCCCCACGCTGTCATTATGTTTTATGGCAGACGAAGTGTTTGTGAAACCAAAGCGAGGTGCTGTAAGGATGGGCCATGTGAGAAAGGGTGATAGTTTTACACCAAGAGTACGTGAAGCAAGAGTGCTGTCTGTTTACATGTCTGATCACAACCAACACATCTAAAAGTGGAGTGTGAGAGAAAGAGGGAGAGCATTGCTTTCAAGTAGAACTCAAGAAAAACAAACAAGTGAGTGCAGGGTGAGTGAAGGTGAAGGAGTCACTGTTAAGATAAAGAAAGGGCAGACAGAGGCGAATGTGAAGGCTGTATGTTATTTCTGTGCATAGAAACAGTACAGTTAGTTTGTTATGCACCTATAGACAAATACACAAAAGTAAATTTGCAAAAAACATTTTAATTGGCATTGTTTTAATCATTCTTGGATCAATTTACAGTTTTTTTTTATTCATTCTTGTCAAAGGTAAACACATTTCTTGTGGTTGTCTTCAACATCAGTAAATGCTTTTTACCCGCTTCCCAAACCCCGTAACGTAAACTAACATTACAGAAGAGCACATTCTCTCATACACACTTGCATATTCAGATCCTACAAACGACTCCTTAACGGGTACGAAATTTCTAAATGCCACATACTTTAAAAGCGCGGACAAACACATTCTACATACATACGCACACAAATGTGCACACATATGTGTTTTTCTCTTGTTCGCTCCCACACTCACAAACAGTCACACACACAGTCATACACGCTTGTGCAGTTGCACGCACATTCCATAACCGGCATGTATTATAAATATACATTACATTGCAGACTCCTTCGTTTCGCAAGCGCAGCACTTGAGGAATGCTGCCCTTCCATCAACATCGGCTCTGTCTGTGCATTCATCGTTGGTTTATGACATGCTTTTCAGCAACATAATCTGGTTAGCTGTATCTGTTATATGAGAGTAGGGTTACTGAATGTATATCCCTACTGATTAGTCATAACCAGTCACCCTTTCTTTTTGCCAGGCTCAATTACATCTGACTATTTATCTACACAAGCAAAATGCTGCAGTAAAAATTCCACTGTTTAAAAAAAAGAATAAAAAATGGCACAATAGCTTATTGAGCAAAGGCCTACAAATGCACACTAATAAATTAGGTAGATAAATAATATACTTTAATGTTAAAATAAATACATTTGAAAAGTAAATAAATTAAAAAAGCACAACATTGTAATTTGATTAATGCCAGCCTACATTGTCCTGTATTACAATATAAAAAAGTGAACTTCTTTTTAATTGCACATTCACACGTGTGTGTTTGTTTTTTTTTTTAACAAAATGGCGGCAGCGTTACTTTGAGACTCAAAGCACAATTTCCCCTCAGGCACCTGCCGCGCTCCGGCGACTGTATGGGGTCGTTTCCATGGTGACTGTGACTGCTATAATGGCCATCAGCACTGATTGGCTGGGAACCTCTGAAGTGGAAAAGGAATAGACGGGGTTGTCTGGGATTAAAAGGGAACTTGCTGCTGAGAGAGGTTTTTAAGAATTGTAAATTAGTGGTATTCTGAATGACTCTGCTGATTGCTGCTAGGAGAAAGGTTTGACATCCGGAAAATCTACGTGAAGTGCTGAAGGTAAATGCATCGGAACAAAACACACATCTACCAAGTCTAAGTGCCGTCAAATTACTAGTCCAGAGTCTGTATTTTTCTAGGTTTACAGTGTGAAGGCAGGAAATGCAGACAAAAGACTAGTTCTAAGAGGGCACTCGCTATCTTCTAAGAAATGCAGGCTTTGCATCTGTACCTATCACAAAGCCAGGGGTATTTTTGATGTCTGGAGAAAATGGATTCTTAAAAGGCCTGTGGATATCCTCACAAAGTCTTTCCCTTTTCTTAAGAACCACCTTGGATTCTTATTACCAGCAGCTCTCTCACCACCAGTGTGAAAACATTCTTCAATGTCCAGGACAATGGCAGCAGTTCTCATCACTGACTGATTATATAAATATCCTGTATAGCCCAGGTAAGATCAGTACAGTTCCAGAGTCCAGCTTGCTCTTTACTACTTCTGAGTTTTATCCATCAGCATACTTGGTCCGTGGTCCAAGGCCTAAAAATCCACTGCAGAAGTCCATGTTTGCCACCTTTTTCAAAGCTACAAAAGCCTTGCTTTCATCAGCTGAAGACAGCGCAGCTTAAATTCCTCAGGTGATTTGATGTCCATGCTACAATAAGAGTGTGTAGTCTACATCCAACTCATTACAAGTCCACTTTTTTCTCCACAGCAGCACAGAAGTCTGAATATACGTTGTGATTGTGGTCTTCATGTTGTGGCAAACACACCTGCATGAAATGCTGTGGTATTCATATAATATTGATGTCCAACAACTCATGAAGTGTCAAAATACATGGGTATAAATATGACAGCAAAAAGGCCTCTCCTTTTTTTTAAAGTCCAGGTAAGTTAAGTTCAAGGATTTACTTCTGTGTCTTTTTGATTGTGGTTCTGTTTCTACTTGATTCTCTTCTGTGTTTCTGACAACTTTCACATCAACAACTTGGTGGATACAAAGCCCTTTGGACAAGGCGGTCCAGCAATGCATGAAGTGTCACTCACGGTGACAGTCGCTAGGACAAAAAGATGCCCGACACGAGCATCATCGCCACGGTGAGAAGAAGGCGGTCACGTGATGGGCTGCTGCCACTGACGCTTTTCTCCAGTTTGGGAACTTCAGGGTTAAATTCATCTGGAGAAAAAGGCACAGAGAGAGAAAAGTGAGAAAAGTGAAGAACGTGAGTGTGAACGAGCGAGAGAGTATGTGTGTGTGCCAGACAGAAGGAAACGAACCATTACTACATTATTAATTCATCAATCTAAAGGCAATGTGTGATGCATGCAAATTGTGCTTTAACATATGCAGAGAAAGAGACATGATGCAATTATCAACAAACCACCAATTATCATCAGCACTGCTACATATGGCCATTTTCCCCGTGGGATGGAAAATTAAAAACACTTTTGTTTCTGATCTGTTTTTTTTTTCATGTATTCCTCTTTTCACACTAATGATGTTTTTATCCTAGAGGGATTTCAATCAAACCAAATTACTATGGCCTTGCCATTGATTAGACACAACATAATATTAGCTGGAGGGGAAAGATGGAGAAAGAGCTGGGAGAACCCATTTTGTAATATTCTGTAAAAAGTGGATTACACTGAGTCATTATGCTCTGTCTCGACATAATGCTTCCCATTATATCTAGAGTGTTATAACATGGTAAAGTAAAGCAAAAAGGAACCTAACAGAGCTCTGTTGCTTACATTTCCATCACAAGTTTAAGGACAACCTGAGCAAGCTGCAGAGATGTTGGGGAAAAAAACGATTTTTTCCTATCAGGTAATCTAACTAAGTGCACAAGAAAGCTGCAATTTCTTACTGACGTCAGTCACATTAACCCACATCAGACATAAAAGAAAGATGCATTTGAGGGGGAGGGGTGATGGAAGAGTTTAAAGCCTTGAGATGTGACATACTGATATTACATTGTATCATTAGGAAACTATGTGGGTTTAACAGCAGAAAATTGCACTGGATTTGTTATGATACAAGAAAGGATATATCTATTTGACAAATTGTACCCAAAAACTGACAAAAATCGTCGTTTGTCTACTAAAATCCCATTACTTTCACTTTATTATGTTGTCATCATGATGTCTTGGTGCGTAAAAGTTTGAGCTGACTCTTCTTCTTCCATCAAATCAAACTGGCTATCAACAGGAAATTCATCAAATTAAGAGAGCAAGATGTCTTCAAAATACTCTTTCACTATGACGTTTAAGTCTTTTCTGGAGTCTAAATATAATGAAGACAGTAATTGGCTACAACTAAAAACAAGAAAGGTGATAAGATAACAGACAGAGACAACAACCACATGTCAGCTGATGTTTGATGAATGCAAGGAATTTTGTTTTTGCTGTTTCTGTCCGATAGAAAACCATCCAACCGCTCTGGTTTTTCCTGGTTGTGTGTGACGCCTGCCCACGTCAGAGTTGTTCTTAAGGAACACAAGGTATCTGTCCGTGCCGATGACACACGACACTGACATTCACACTGCAGTGCACCGGGATGAACTCCAAAAGAAAACAGGCAGGCAAGGCATGAGGGAGAATATAAACCTGCATTGCCTCAGGTAGGGCCCACAGGTCACAGCGGGGCTTTCACACCATCCGGTTTGTCTCTCTATAAGGTTTTACCAGAGAGGCTCCAGAAGTAAAATGTAAAACTCAGCAACCGGGGGAAGAGACATCCTGTCAAGTACATGCAGACACATCCACAGTTGCTTCGCATGTGAACGGATTCATTTTGTGTGTTCTTACAGACTTGTTTGTGGGTGCGAAGAGGTTTGACAATCACAAAGCTGCACAATATGCACCTCTTCAAAAACCCTTGCTATTTAGGGAGGCTGTCCTTGGAAGATAAATGTGGGGGACGTCGTGTGCCTCGGGCCATAACAAGTTATCAAAGGTCCACAGTACGACACCTAACATCACAGTACCATTGTGGGATACAGCAATCAATTTCCAAGAACACAATCTGGTGCAGTCTTGTCTGTATGGGGTGTAACAACAGAAGAGCACTCAGGGTAGCTCTCCTGTCCACACTAAAGCGCCCAAGGCATTTACAGTGAGATAAGAAACATCAGCTCTAGACTGTCGATGAGTGGAAAAAGGTTGTCTGGTCTGATAAATCATCGTGCCCACTACATCGCAACAATGGTAGACTTGCAGTGTATAAACAACATGAGGCGATGGACCCATCATGTATGATTACGGCTCTATAGGTCAGTGGGGGAGGTGTAATAGTGTGGAGGCCATTGGACTGGCTTACACTCTGCTATTAATGTCTGTAGATTGATGCCTTAATGCCAGAGCATACCTTAACATCAGAGCAAATGTATGCTTTAATCACGGAAGGAATGGGTACTAAGATAGGATAATTCTCTTGGTCACAGTACAACACTTGTCTTGGAATAGTCTGAGGAACATTTAGAGTGAATAATCAACTGATATTGTTCCTACTAAAAAAATAATATCCAAAAAGGGGGATCCATTCATACAATCACTCAAACAATTGCACAAAGCACTGATGTGTTTGTGCTCTTAACAATGACAATGTTAGCCTCAGTACTGGGAGGCTACTAGCTTGGTTTCAGAACTGTACATCACTACCCACATCTCCGGTATGTTCAGTGATGGCCAGTGCTTGCTTATCGATGGCTATTTCCACGGAGAAATAGCTGACCAATGAGAACTTGGTAGACAGAATTAAGAATGGGGAGATCACCTTTGCCTTCATAGAAACCTAACCAAGTATCTCCAAATTTGGTGATTTTTAATTAATTTTTTTCTGATAAACTGAAGGATTAAGTGTTCCTTTATGAGTTGAGAAAATTCTCCTACCTCTTTTGCTGAATAAACTAGTTTAAACCCCACATGGATTAGTTGGAAAATGCATTGTCACAAATCAGAAAACTGTCTGTTTCATGAAAAGTTGACTTGTTACAGATCTCACAATACAGCGATTCTACAAACATATTATAGAATATGATGTATTCCTGTAAACTACCCAACAGTTTGAAGTAGTGCAAATTAGCATCTACAACATCAACATCTACACCAGTAAAATGCAACAGACACATCAATACATCAGCAATATAAATCCAAAAACATTAAAAAACACAAACAAGGTTCTGAATGCAGGACTTGATTCCTCAGGCTAAGAGGCTACATGTCTGTTGTTTCTACTAAAGCCGCCATCAGCACCGAAAGTGGTCCAACACGTTTCTGAACCAAAGGTTTCAATTCTCCTGATAACTGAATATATGACTGTAGATATTGGATGAAATGTTTTTGCTTCGCTTGGTGCAACACAACTTACATTTTATGACTGATTTTGAGAAAATCTGCAAATAACAAGCAACTTAGAACAGATGAATCGAGGGTGCTAGTGCACATTGATCTTCTCTTGAAATGATCTGTTTACAGTTGCATTTTCTGACCCAGAATATAATTTATGTTTCAGCCTTTAGGCCTCTTCTACTGCTGCATACATTTGATATAGGAGGAAAGTGTTTAGAATGTTACAGAGGTTAGAATGCAGTGTATACTAAACTTTGCTGCTGGAAACTATAAAGTTACGATTATTTGAAACGCAATTCTTATTTTCAGGTGATTACAAACTAATAAAAACATACCTATGAATATTATATTCCATCTCTGCCAGTAGTAACTCCTAAATGCTATGCACTGGACCTTTCTGGTGTATTCCAATTAGTAGTTAGTAATTGCTGAGAGTTGGAAACACTCTAATGGGGCAAGAAATGTAAACGAGTCAGATGTTCAGGCAGGTTGTTAACAAGCCAAGCCAGCGTCCCATTTCACAAAAGTGATTCGTAAGCACTGCTTACACACAGATTGCAAATTGCAACATCTTGTTTCACAAATGATGATAAACTGTGATGAATGTTTACAGCAGACAGATTGGGAAATATTTTTATTGTTGGTCCTCGTTTTCTCTTCCGAATAAGTTTGTCTGACACAGAGATTTGTTTAAAACCTGGATGATCATCTTACTGCTCATGTTTCTTGCCCTGCCTGACTTTAGCAATGTCACCATGTTTCCACATATTGGCAAATACTGTTGTGAGAAAACTCTTGTTATAGAAATGATGGCCGAAACTACAAAAATAGCCTAAAATTATCCGTAAAACACCATGTTAAATAAGGAAAATGTGACGTAGAAGCAAAGCTAATAATAAAGTAACAAAGATGACAGAAAGTCCAAACATATGTGGAGAGAGAGGCTGAGATTTGTTGATGCTAAGCCAGTCTGTGGGATGGTCTGGTCCTGAGGGTGAGTCAGAGAGTGGGTGTCAAGCGGTCAGGAAGACCATCAGGGGTACGTTTTGTTTTTAAGTGTGAGTGTGTGTGTGTGTGTGTGTGTGAGAGAGAGTGCGCATAAATCTGTGTGTCCTGATTTTGTTATTCCGCCAAATGTATTCAGCAAAATGCATCACAACGCTCGAGGCTATGATCTTTTATGATTCTCTGCCAGTGTGTGTTTTTTTATATTAAATTCTACGTAAGCTCAAGCCTGAGTTACTGCTGAGCAATTCGCCCACCACTGAGCTTTTCTTTCTTTCTTCCTCTGCCCCTTCTCTCTGCACCCCCCTTTCTCTGCCCCCACTCTGGTTTTATCTCTTTTTCTGCCTGTTTCTCTTTCTTTGCCTTATCGGTCCCTCTATCTGTGAGGCTTTTCCTGCTGCATATCTCTTCCACTGCCTCCTTCCTGACTTTCTCTCTCTCACTTTGTCTCTCCATCTTTCCAGCCTTTGTCCCTCTCCTCTGTTTCTCTATTTTCTGCCTTCTCTCGTTGCTGATGGCTCAAGAGCTCTTTTCACTCTGTCTCTGCTGGCTTCAGTTTCTATCTCAGGCAGGTCACACTCTCTTAGCCCTCGTCACAGACTGCCCACAGCTCCCAGAAACAAGCATACTAAATGATTCCCGGCAAGAGGCTTTTGTTTGAGATGGGGATGGAGAAAGAGAGAGAAAAATAGAGGGTTTATGTAACCACTCAGCTGCACAATTGACTCGCTCACTGACATGCTTTCTCCTTAGGTAAACATGGACCTTTCATTCCTTACAAGACCTCTACTGACCTTGTGGATCTTGCACTAGAGAAAAAAAGGAAGGTTTTACCTGTGTGTGTGTGTGTGTGTGTGTGTGTGTGTGTGTGTGTGTGTGTGTGTGTGTGTGTGTGTGTGTGTGTGGTTGACTGTAGGAGGTAAAGTTTTATGTCTTATTTTTCGTGGTGGAAGCATTCACATCATTTACTTAAATACCACACTGAAAATACTCCACTACAAGTAAAAATCCTGCATTGAAAATCTTACTTAAGAATTATCAGTATAATTTACTTAAGGTCCAAAGTGTAGGATTTGGTAGCATCTACAGTCTAGTTGCAGACTGTAACTCCCCCACCTCACCATCCCCTTCCATGCACGAATGAGAAACTATGGTGGTCGTGAAATGCAGAAAAAACGTGAGCGACCCTATCTAGAGCCAGTGTTGTTGCTGTTTATCCCTTTTTGGTCTACTGTAGAAACATGACGGTTCAACATGGTGGGCTAAATCCTACACACTAGACCTTTAAGTCTTCAAATTATCAAAAAAAAAAAAAAAAAGGGGGAGTAACTAGTAACTACAGCTATCAGACAAAGAGGTGGAGTAAAAAGTAGGTAGTGGAGTACAAGTACACTGCATGAAAAGGAAATACTCAAGTAACTACAAGTACCTCAAATTTGTACTTAAGTACATTTAGTGAGTGTATTCAATTACATTTAACCACAGCTTATTTTCATAGTTCTGTCCATCATTCTTATTGGTAGTAATACCCCCGTACTCACCTCAAGTTCACAGCTGAGATTTGGGAATCTGACGACACAGCTAAAAATAAGTCTGACGGGGTAGCTCAAGCTCTAGCAACAAATTCCCAGGTTAACCAAACTTATTTGAAAGAGCGAGGCAACGTGAAAAACTGATTTCTGTCCAGTCATGAATTTTATCATGACACTGACAAATTAACTGTGTAATAAGGTCAGTACCTCAGCCAATAGTGCTTTGGTGTACTGCCTTGGTGCTTTACTTTGGTGATTATTGGTATTATCATAACTGATAGAAATAATCAAAAGTAAGAAAAGTAAGTTGTAATAAACTGGAACTATCATTTTATGTTGCATATTAGATTTCTTGGGTGTACTGTTGGGTTAAATGGGTTAATTTGTTCACGTACATATTTGCTTTCTTACAGAGATGCCTGTAAATACAGTAAATGGTGTCACTACTGTTGAATCAAGTTGCTATGATTCATTGTCTTATCCATATTGCAAAACAATCAAGAGCAGAAAATAAAGGTTTTACTCATCAACCAGCTATGCCCTGTGGATTTTCTTTTCCCAACCATAGAATAAAAATCTAACAAATGTTTTTTTCCTTTCCACAATGATCTGTACACAAATCAAGCTTTGCAGCCACAGCCAAATATTGACCAGCATCTGACAATTGGCTGCTGTTCATTTTCAGCAACTCAGAGTCACTCACCAATGTTGTGTATTTTGATGTTTGGCCTGACTGTGTAGTCAGGAGGAGTCTGACTGGAGTCATCATCTGCCTGGGAAACTAAGAAACACACCACATATACACACAAAGACAGAGAGAGAGAGAGAGAGAGAGAGAGAGAGAGAGAGAGAGAGAGAGAGAGAGAGAGAGAGAGAGAGAGAGAGAGAGAGAGAGAGAAGAGCGGGGAATAAAAAAAGCAGAGGAGAGAAACAAAGATGGAGAGAGAGACATGGAGAGAAAACAGCCCATTAAAACAACAAGACTGAGTAAAATGTGCATTTTAGGCACCACTATATTGTACAGATATGGGAAAAAAAACAGTTGGCGTGCCCCTGCCTCTGAGAAAGCATGAAGAAATCCTGGACCGAGACTCCAGTCTTCCATCTGATGATTAAAAGCATTTGGAACCAGTGGACAGAAATCATTTTCACATTTACTGTTCGTCTAGACAGAATTACATTCAGTCTGCATTGCCAAATGATCCACGAATGAATGATGTGTGGGTTTGTTGATATGCATGTGTATACATCTTTGTGTATGTTTTTTGCTTTTTCCAATTAAATATGTGTGTCGGTGAGAGCCTGTGATTCCACTGCATAGTTAGGAGGATGAAATAGCATTTACAGAGAATTTACATAGAGGCTGGTAGCAATCAATTTGAAACTCTTTACAGATGTAAAGCATATGCCATGAATATTCACATCTTTGTCTTATCTTTAAATCTTATAAGGGCTGAGACACACAGAGGAAATGAAAACGGTCTGGGGGCAGCTGAAATCAACAGCTTTTTGATAGCAAGCTGTTAAAATGACCTTGCTGAGTAAAGGTTGTGGATTGTAAACTAACTAAATGCACCAATGTGCACATAGTCAGTCATGCACACGCACAAACACACGTTAAAAAATTTATGGCTGACATAGTACCACGTGCAGACACGCACACACATGCTCAAACTCCAGCACCTCGAACACACGCGCACACACACACACACACACTCACACAGAAGCAAATGGAGGCGTGGTAGACACATCAATAGATTAGCCGTGACACTGGGATGGGGGGGGTGTTAAGGTGATGTGTACACAGGGGCTGACACTGGCCTGAGTGTGGGATGTATTAGTGCTGACAAGGTTAGAGGAGAGGGGGAGGCTTTCAGCACAGGGCTCCCTGATCAAAGGCCTGCAGGGGAGAGAGCAGGCTACCAGGGTAAAAATAACACACACACTATACAGAGCAGCAGGCATCAGAGAGCCAGAAAGAGAGAAGACGAGATAGACGGTGAGGGAGGAGGGAGGAGGGAGAGGGGATGAGATGGTCAAGAGAGCTAGGGGGGAAAGAGGGCAGAGAGAGCTGGATCTTGTGAAACAGTTTTTTCTTTTTTTTACATCTTTTGTACATCTTCGCGAGAGCATGTCATTCACAGAGAGATAGAGCATTACTGTAATAGCACTGAGACAGAGAATAACATTAAACCATCACTCTCAAAGCACTGCTTCGAGGGAAAAGACGCCACCATCAAAACCTCGCCAAGACAGCGAGCGGCAGAAAAGCCTCTCTCTGAGAGGAGACTGTCTGATCTTAGTTTTTCTCTCTCTCTCTCTCTCTCTGTCTGTTTCTCTCTCTCTGCCCTCTTTGTCTCTCCTTTCTCTGCGTCTATGTGCGTTTGGGAGATAGAAAGAGATAGGTGGAGGGAGGAAAGTGTAGGTAAAGTGACACAGAACGAGAGGAGATGATGTAAAATGAGTTGGAGAGAGCTGTGTGGAGGCAGGGCAGAGAGGAGCTGTTGGGTCTCACCGGTGGAGCAGCAGACGTAGACCCTCAGTCTCAGGCAGCTGTGGCCGTGGTGGTGGGTGGGCGTGGCTAAAACAGAGAGCAAACAACAACACGTCAACCTTGTGCCCTCTGCAGGCCGCACCGCCCTCAACAATCAGCTGTGCAAACTGCAGCGCTGCGACTGAGCAACCGCCCTGTCCTCAGCTGAACTTCCACAGTCTATTAGCAGCACCCACACGCCATCAATACATGAGGGTGACCGCAGCCTTAGAGCCACTCTGCATGCGCAACATCCTCAGGCTTTTCTATGCATCACAATGAAAAAAGTGGCGTAAAGTCGTCTGACTCACAGATATAGTAGTATTCCTGGCCCACGTTGAACTCGTAGCCCAGCGAGAAGGCGCTGTAGCGCTGGAACTTCTCCGAGAACTTGATGGGGGCGTGAGGCGCATGGGGCCGGTTGCACTCCCAGCGCTTGAAGCCCAGCTGGGGGTCGCAGGTGCGGTAGCCGCGGTAGCTGACCATGTAGAGGATGTACTGCTCGGCCACGGTGCGCTCCAGCGTCCCCCGCTGGGTGGTGTTATAGTGCGGGCAGTAGATGTCCAGGTAGTCGTTGACGCTGACCTGCACCGTGTATCCCTCTCTTCGTAGCCTGATTTAACAAAAGAAAAAACACACAGAGCGACAGAAAGAGAGGGAGAAAGGAAAAGTGGGATAAAGAAAGAGGGAAAGACAGATAGAAAAATGTGGATAATTAACTATGGCTGCACACAAAGAATCGTTACATCTGTTAAAGGATTGTTTCACTTTCAGATCCTTGACACAAATGTAAGGTTGCCAGGCAACGAGACTCCAGAAAATCACTCCTTGCCAAGAAATAGACCCGCAAATAACCCCCCTATAAAACTGCCAATTGTCATTTTTGCACTTTACAAACAAACTCAACATGTTAATTAAAGAGCTTTAGATGTGTTTGTAGGCGGATTTCTGTACATACATACATGGAGCCAGGCTAGCTGCCCCCCTTCCAGTCGTTGTGCTAAGCTCACACAACAATCTCCTGGCTGTAGTTTAATATGGAACAGATGTAAGAGTGGTATTTATCTTCTTGTCTAATTCTTGGCAAGAAAGCGAATAAGATTATTTCCCCAAAACACTGATCTTAAACACTTATCTGTACAATTATTATATTGATTCTAAAAAAGAGCCCAGATCTTCAAACAAACAAACCCAAATATATTTAATTTACAGTGAGAAAAAAGCAGCAAATACTCATTTACAGGGGCAGTCCCAGAGGTGTACACTGGGTGGCTGCCAACCCTGAAAAAATGCCTGGCCCCCCCAGCTGCCACCACAGTTTGTATCAAATTAAATGCATTCATTTTGATTCATTTTAAATGTGTTATGGTAACATTTTAGATGAAGTGAAAAAATACACGTATTTGGCAAAATGTCTGAAGATTTGGTTATAATCATTTATAGTTTTCTAATGTTACCTTTAGATATTTCTATTCAATCCTTTACTAATGTTTGCAGTTAAACTAACATGTATTTTCGGCCACCCTTTAAGGCTCCATGCCGCCCTCTTACCACCCCATAAATATTTCTCTGGATCTGCCCCTGCACACTTGAAAAGCTAGAAGCAGTAAATAGTAATGTTTTTTACTTGATACATTACATCAGTTACATTAAATGATTAATCAAATAAATGAATCTTCTGCCTACTGACTAACCGATTAATCAACTGATCTTTTCAGCACTAAAGTTAACATAAAAGCAACTCAAAGAGGCCAGAGAGCGATAGACCTTTCCCTCTGCATACATTAACACCCTCTTTTCTTCAAGAGAGAAACTATTACACCTAAACTACTACCCCCCTCTGCATACAAAAACACATTTTCCTCGCTAAATGCCTTGTGGCGAGTGCTGAGGACGGTGCTGAGAATGATAATCTGCACTCCTGTCTTCCCCCCTGAGCCAGCTACAGGCCAGGTCATTGAGGCGGAAGGAGATCCTGTCAGTGGCGATGTATGCTCTGGCCGCAGGGGAACCAGCCAGCACACAGTACATATGATGGACCAAGCTCCCCCGACAACCAAGGAAGGCCACTCTAAGGTTGAGTGAGTGTGTGTGTGCGTGTGTGTGTGTGTGCGTGATGTACATGATGGTACAGTAACCCTTCAGTTGATTCAAGACTCCTTGCTGAACAACTGAGGCAATGATGTGATATGATTTTGCATTCAGCCGCCACGCTGTGAGCTCAGCTGTTTATAATACTAAGTATACTTATTATGTAAATTACACAATCTGTAATTAGACAAAGTAGAAGTCATTAGAAGGGCTCCTGCAGGTGAGCTGATGAGATGGGAATTGTCCTTGGCTGCAGTGATGTGTAACCTGTAACAACTATAGTTGTAATGACTACCTTACACCACTAGGTGGAGGTATTGTGCTTTATTATGTTTAAAGAGCACTCCCCCACACACACACTTCTCCTCTGCACTCATTTTTTCTCTTCTACTGGTTGTCTCCTCTTTCTTACACATTTTCTGTTACACACATACAAATGAGCACTCAGTTGCACACACTCACAACCATCCTTCACTGTGTATACATTGTGCCTACACACACACACACACACACACAAAGCTGCGGACACGCTCTCACAAACACGCACACACGTGCATACGTTACTAGGTCAGGTCTCCAGAGAGATTATTATTCAATTACAAAATGTGGATCAGAAATGTCATGGCACCTCTCTCCTTCTCGTTCTCTCTCTCTTTTTCTGTCTCGCCATCTTTCTTGCAGTGGCGTTACAACTGTTCTCTTTTCTGGATCTTCTCCCATCCTCCTTTTCATCTCCACTCCTTGTCTTCGTTTACACACACGCTGAGGCAGATGAATATCAATTCTCTTAACCAGTGTTTCTTTTTGGGCCATCAATCTTATCTGTGCTTTCTATCCCTGCTGCTCAGATGTGAGATGACAGACTTTTGTCTTGCAGTGCTGCGGGAAGAGACAACACAGCTATGCTTCAAAGGGACTATATTTAGAGAGGGGGGGAGGTTGTGATGGGGGAAGAGCAGAGGGGTAGAGAAAGATAAAGAGGTACAATGGGTGTGGGGTAGAGAGAATGGTAAGTAGATAGACCTAAGATGAAAGTAGGAGAAAGAGGGTGCGTTGAATATGAAAACCTGCGATGAGGAGAATCCTGGATGCGAGTGGCGTGTAAAAAAGTCGAGAGTGATGCAGTCACTGAGAAACAGGTGAGAGGATGGCGGCGTGCGAGAGGAGCTGGATGCAAGGAGGCAAGAGCAGGAGTAAGGGAGCGTGTGTGTGTGTTTGTGTTTGAGCACTTGAGCATGCTGGGTTATACTGAGACAGTACAGCAAATGCAGCTAAAGGACCAGCGATGCATTTGTTCTTTTGTTTTAAGGTTTAGATGACTCTATTGTAACGCTACAATTCAACTCACAATCTAACACAATTAACAGTACTCAATATCATTTTCTCACAATGTTTTTTAACAAAGTGAAGACAAATCATAACTGAAAAAGATTCCTTTTCTTCCTTTTTAATCTTCACACATTTGTATGGTGGCTCATGATATATCTTGACATCCCTAACTGATTGTTTAGTGTATAAAATGTCAGGATGTAGTGAAAAATGACTATTACAATCGTACAGGGCCAATGGAGGTATCTTCATACTGCTGGTTTTGTCCAATACACACTCCAAAATCCAAAGATATTCAATTTACAGTGATATAAAACTGAAAGAAAGAAGCAAATACTCACATTTGTGCAGCACATTTTGGAATGTTTAGCACTTCAGGTTGGTAAATAACTTAAATAATTACCAGTAATTAAACCCAAATTGGTTGCTGATTAATTTTCTGTTGTTTGACTAATTGTTTCAGCAGTAGATGAACAAGCAACCCTGTTACTTTACTGTTTTGGTTATCACTCTGACTCACTAGACATAACTACACAGCAGGAGGACCATTTGTTCCAAACGTAAAGTCAGCAGTAGAAGAAGCTGGGGAAGAAAGGAAGTAAGAAAGAGGAGGAGGAGGAGGAGGAGGAGGGGGAAAATGACTTGAAGAAGAGGAGAAGGTAAGGTGGTGCAGAGGGGAAAAACAGGAGGAAAGGAGACTAAAAGGGTGAAGTGAGAAGAACAGGCTGGCTGGGTGAGAGGAGTCCCTCTAGGTGTACGCTGTTATATAAGCAGTCCACTTAGTGGCACAAGACAGAAAGGTTGCAGGGCAGAGAGGAACGGAGGAAAGAGAGGAGAAGAGAAACAGAAGAAGGGGGTGAGAGGAGATTTAATAACTTACGGTAGTGGGAGGAGGGGGATGGGTGAGGGAGGAAAATGCATTGAATGATGACAACAAAGAGAAAGGCGCAGAAAGGGAGGCAGAGGCTCAGACAGAGACATAGTGCTCCCCGGGGATGAACATATATGTGGTAAAAGTGCATAAAAAAGACTGATGGCTCTCATTCTCTTGTTGTCTCTCTTTTCCTGCAGCCGGTTCCCTCTCTCCAACTCTCTTCCTCTCTTTCCGCTGTGCATCGTCTCTATGGTGGTTTTGCTGTCTCATCATCATTTTCCTATGAGTGGGAGTGTGCAGCTAGTTAGTAAAGGCTGCACAAGCTGGTGAAGACTGCCAGGGGAGGCAGATAGCAGGGGAGAGAGAGAGAGAAAGAGGAAGACAGAAAGAGGAGGAGGGGGGCGAGGAAGAGTGAGACAAAGATAGCACCACTGCACCTTTCACATCTGCGTTAAAAAGAGTCTTTGGAGAATACCAACGGTATCAATAAATAACAATGGTGAAGTAGCGCTACAGCTAAGACACTCTAAAACGTACAGTTCAGTGGACAGAAACTGAGAATCTCCTACAACCACAGAACAAATCTATAATTCCTGTAGTGAAAAATAACAGGCAAAGATCATAAACAATAATTTGTAAGTCACAAAAACGAGGAGAAATATGAAACATTATTAGAAAATATTTCCCTCACTTTCCACATGAGCGATGTCAATCATTTTTTGTTTTGCTTCACCAGGCTTAAAACTAAAACAAATCTGTGTCCTCTGTCATTTCTCTGTATAATAATTTTGCCAGACTGCATCAAAGTGAAAGCAGAAGCATGAGCGCTGCTGGCTTTCAAGGAAAATAATACCAGTGCAATTGTATTTGTTTTATTTTTTCTGAGTTTTATTTTTTATTTTTTCTACTGACATGAATGGATAGGAAAAGTCTAAATCCACCAAGGTATTCTTCACAGTCTGAAGTTAGTGCTGTTTGTTCTGCTACAGGTTCGCCCTACATTACTGCCAGAGGCTCCAACTGTTTCCAAAGATCCATTAAAAACAGCTGGAAGAGACAAGTTGTTGCTTTTGACAAGAGTAGTCCAACCTTACAGGAGAAAAGACAGTAATAGCTTCTGACTGTGGAAAAGAAACACTTGTGGGTTTTCATCTCTTCATAGGTATTAATGCTGATAGGTACAGTAAGAATATAATTACACCAGTATTATCCTTTGCAAATACACATATCACAAAACTCTTGGAGGCTTACTTTTATAGACCATGAAAGTCAAATAACTGTTTTAAAGCAAAGTACTTTTATTTCTTCCAACGCTTACA